GGGAGGTAAGAAATTGCCTCGTGCTAACTTTGATCAGGATGAGAAGATCAGGCTCAAGAAAGAGATCTCCTCCTCTTCCTCCTCTTCCTCCTCCTCCTCCTCGCCTTCTCCTTCTTCGACTTCTCCCTTGAGTTTGCAAGCTCTGCTGAACTCCAAGGACGGTGCGGATAGTCCGACTATCAGCATGATGAGACAGGTTGCTTCCCTTCCCCTCTTTCTCTTCTCGTCTCTCCTTCTCTCTTCCTCCTCCTTCCCCCCGCCCCTTCCTCCTCTCCTCCCCCCCCCCTCTTTCCCATCCTTTCAGCTCTTCCTGCTCCTGCTCCTGCTCCTGCTCCTGCTCCTGCTCCTGCTCCTGCTCCTGCTCCTGCTCTTCTAACCAGCTTTCAGTCGGGGATCTCTCCCTCTCAGTCGAAGATCCCCAAGTTCTCAGAGAGGAGGGACAAGGACAAGAAGGATGGAGACGACTCTCGGCGCTCGGCTCTCGCTCAGCTCCGCGAGCATGCGATCGAGTCCAACATCCCCAGCCTGTCCAAGTCCGGGAAGAAGCAGCGAGGGAGAGGGAGATGGAGCATGCCGGGACAGATCGGCGACCTTGCGCTACTGCAGGAGGAGGCGAGTGGGGAGGACACGAGGAGGATAACAGCCGTCAACGCCACCGGCTGCTTCCAGAACCTTCGCGCATGAGGAGCGGGAGGAGGGGTAGTGGCATGGAAAGGAGGGTGGAGGTAGATACTTTCTCGTGTAGATTGAAAGGATTAAGTTAGCCCACAGAAAAGAAAACCCACATCCCCAAAGTTCTCCTCCTCTCTTTTCTCACCTCCTCTCCCTCCTCTCTCCCTTTCCTCTTCTCCCTTGTCCACTCTCTCTTCTCTCCCGCTCTCATCTCCTCCCCTCCTTCCTCGCTCACTCTCGCTCGAAGGGGATCCGGCGACTTTTCCAGCTCATAAGGGAGGTGAACTCTGAGTTGACAACCTGAGGTACAGGTCAAACCACCTTCACCTCCTCTGCTCCCCCCTCTCTTCTCCCTCAACCGTCCTCCCCTCCTCCTCCTGATCTCCTTCAAGCTCCTCCTCCTCCTCCTCCTCCTCCTCCTCCTCCTCCTCCTCCTCCTCCTCTTCACCCAACTTTCCCTCTTCCTCCTCTCACCCTGATGTAGTCTTTCTGCTTCGCGCATCCTCGTGCTATGCCCAGGTTGACTCTGCACGAAACTGAGGAAGCAGACAAGGACGAGAGCTGGCAAGGGGAGAACAGTACGGGGGAGAGAGGAAGAAGAGAACTAGCTATCGCGCGAGGTAGCAGTTCAAGACAACTAACAAGGCTGAATGAAAGAGGAAAGAAGACGTAAGGGGGGGGGAGGAGATGCAGGGAAGGGAATAAGGAGCAGAAGAACCCAGAGCAAGGGAGAGCGGGTATATAGCGGGGATATACCTATCAACGTCGATGGCCTTTTTATCCCCAAGGGAGCGCGAGACTGAGCAGAAGGAGCGTCAATTTACAGCTACGGCTTCTCCTCCTCTCCTCTCACTTTCAAACGCTTTCGTGAAATACTCCACCGACCGATTGAAGTCTGCGGCCGCATTGAAGATAATCCCCAACCTTGTCATGTGCTGTCAAATCGATTCCCCTCTCTTCCTCTCCCCCCCATTCTCCTCCCTCCTCCCCTCCCAACCTTCCCCTCCCCTCCTTTCTGAAACCCGTCCTTCCCTCCCCCCTCCCCCTGCCCGTTCCCCTTCTCTCCCCTTGCCCCCCACCTTGCCCCTCCTTCTCCATTCCTCTTTCGCCCTCCATCTTCTCCTCCTCCCTGCACCCTCACCCTCCTCCCACCTTCCGCAAGCCTCTCGCTGCGAGTTCAGCTCCCCGGTCGACAGTGCAATCTCGTAATACTCCTCCAGGAACTTGATCGACGACGCTCTGTCCCCCTTCGCCTCGTACGCGGTCGCCAGGTGCGAGCATGCGAGCCCCTCCGACACTCTGTCCTGCGTCTCCTGGCAGATGCTCAGGAACTTGTGGAAGTTGGACGCCGACAGCTCGTAATCCTGCAGCAGCAGGTACGCCGATCCCAGCAGCCGGTACGACTTCCCCTCCTCCTCCTGGTCGTTGATGTCTATGGCAGACTTGAGGCTCTTCTGGAAGTACATGATGGAACCTTCGACATCCCCCTGCTTCTGCAGCTCCTCCGCCAGCCGCCGGTATGCTCGGATCAGGTTGTGCCCTGCCTGGTCGGTCATCTCCCTCCCGTAGGAAGAGACAAGGTCCCTGTGCGCCTCGTGGTACTGTATCGCCTCCTTGAGCTGCCCCATCTCCTCCTTGGTCAGCCCCAGCATCTCGTTCGCCTCTGCCTCCCTCGCAACATCCTGTGACAGCCTGGCGACCTCAAGGCACTTTGTGAGGAAGTAGATAACCCTCTTGTGGTCCGACTTGCTCTTGAAGTGCCTAGCTGTCTCCATGAACGACTCGAAGACGATGTCGTATCCTCCCTCCCGCTGTGCCACCTCCGCCTCCGTCAGCTTGTTCTTGAGGAACTGCAAGACATCATACGTGGCGAAACTCGTTGTGCTTTCTTCATTCAATGCCTGCTGTTGGCTCTGCTGCTGCTGCTGCTGCTGCGACTGCTCCTTGGCGGCGTCTTGAGAGTGAGTAAGGTAGAAGAGATCTACGAAGCTCTGCACGTTTCCTTCCACCAGGCATTCTGTGCAGACAAAGTACTTGTCTGCGATCGATTCGCTCTCTCCATCCTTCCCAGGCATGATAGAGTCACCGATTGCTCTACTTCCCTGGTACTCCCATCACTATTGTATCCCTCTGTTCGTCTTTCTTCTCTCTCTCTCCTCGCTTCTTCTCTCCTCCCTCTCTCCTCCCTCTCTCTCCTTCCTCTAGTCTCTTCTCTCTTCTCTCCTCTCTTGGTCTCTTGCTTCAGATCTCCTCCCTCAACCGCTCAACGAACAATCCGTTATTTCCGTTATAAACATTTTACAGACACTTTTTCTTTTTTTGTTTTATTGCAAGGAGACTTGAGCAGGAGAAAGAGGAGACGAGGGAGGAGAAGAGGAGAGGAGAGGAGAGGAGAGGAGACGAGACGAGAAAGGATAGGATAGGATAGGATAGGAGAGAGGAGAGGACTGGAGAGGGCAGGACAGAACAGGACAGGGGGGGGGGTGGAAACGGAAACAAGGGCACTCGGAGGCACAAGACAAGAGAATGAGAGACATTGACAACGAAAGAGCGTGAGCCCCAAGTCAACATCATTTATCGGATGAGGAGGAGATGGAGATAGATGTGGAAAGCGAAGTTCAGCCTTCGGAGGGAACGAGTGTGTCAGAATGCATAAAGCTCGACGGGAGCTTCGGCCAGTTGAAAGATTTTCTCCCAAAGAAGAAGGCCGCGCCAAAACCTGGGGATGAAAGGTAGGCAAACACGGCGAGGGGGAGTGCATCTAAAGTTTCTGCCCAGCTTGCGCGAGGGAGGGGTTCGAGCTCGTTTGAAAGCAGCTCCTCCTCCAGTCGAAGATTCATCAGGGATCTTGCAGGATTCCTCCGAGCACCTGAGCTTTCTGACCCAGCTCCTTGCCCGATCCCAGGCGAAGAGAGGCTACGAAGGTAAGGAGAATGCGTCCTAGCTCCAGCTGCTGATAGAGATGGCTGTCCAGATGTCCAGGTTGCCCGGCAAGAGCGTGAAGTAGAGCTTTCTGAGCTCAATCACAACGCAGAAAATCCCGAGACGGTAGAGAGAATCCCTCTGATTTCGAGTGTGAGCGTGCTCTGTGCTCGTTCCTTCCTTAGCTGATTTTCTGTAAGGAATCGGCCAAGGTAATTGAGGAGGATCCGGCAGAAATTGAGCCTCCGCCCAGTAGCAATACAACGTTTTCTTGGTTAAGGAGTTTGACTTGTAGATGTCTGTTTTGAGGACGAGTTTCATTCCTTCATTCCAAATATTGTCTTTCCAAATCTTCTCAAGGATCGCCTCCCCCCTTCATGTTTCAAGTTGGCCTGGAACCAGCCATGATTAGATCGGACAGCCTTGCAGCAACATCATTCGTACATTGCAATGTTGTACTTCTAAATCCGTCAATTTCTCCTTCATCTGTTCGCAAGCATGTCAGAAACTTTTGATTTTAGCAAACAGCATGTCTGCAACACCTTTTGCATTTTCCCCCTGTATACATGATTCTGCCGTTTGACCTCAAGGAGCAAAGTAGAGGCCTCCGCATGCTTCATCCTCGCGTCTATCAACTGCACACGTCTCAGTTGCTAGCAGCGGTCAACACGGGCGAGGTACTTGTTGTATGATGTCTTGGTGATACTGGTAGACCTCATCTTCAACCTACCACAAAGTCGTCACGGTGACTATCGGGATGATTGTAATGTAACTGTCATGTAAATGTATTTGTCATGTAAATGTCATCACCTTCTCCCAACAGAGCTGCTGAGCTGCCTGTTTCTCATCGACCAATGTCTGTATCAGCTTCAGCATGTCTGCATTCTTGTCCCTGGCGTCCTCCAGCTCAGTCTCCAGCTGCTTCGCGCTTCCTTCAAGCCCCCGACGCTTGTCGACGGCATCGTTCAACTTTGTGGGGCATGATCAGAGGGGAGGGGTTGAAGGAGCAACTGCTGGTCACCTGGTCCCTCCTGCTCTTGGAAACCTGAGCCTCGACGTCCAAGAGCTTCTTCAATCGTTCAACCTCCTTCTCGAGCTCTCTGATCCTCTCAGGTTGCACGTCATGGTCCGGCCTGTTGTGGGAGGCAGAGGTTTCTTCCATCAAGGTCACAGATGTCCTCTGTTCTTCCTTCCTATCTTCTGATAGAATGTATTCCACATGGCCTGAAGGATTCGCGTCAAAGTTTGAAAATTGGTCTTCAGATGGTGACGGGTCCTTTTCTATTTTCTTGTTCTCAATGATATTGTTCTCAATCGTCTTGTTCAACCCCAGGGCAGGAGGCGGTTCAGACTGCAGAACTTGTCTTGAAGACAAACCAAGCACGGTTTCTTGGAGGTTCCTCACGATAACGTCGATGGCAAGGAAGAATACCTCGAACTCTTTGAAGAACTGTGCGATATTGGCGGCACTGAAGTGTCGTGCTGACTGTTGCTCTACAATACTGCGGAGTTCCAGCTCCAAATCCCGGGCAGTACCCCGAGCACTAACAAGGTCGACCTTGAGCTCCTGCACTATTGCGCTTTCAATGATGGCTGATTCCTTTGCTGACAACATCGGAGGATGTTTCTGCAGCTTGATCTGACGATCAAGTAGTTCCGATGAGATCTGTTTCAAAGTGATCTCAAGTTCATTGAATTGCTCTGTCATGAGCTTGAAAACGTCCTTATCCATACTTGAGGCCGAACGATCACTCCCTACTGTTCCAGCATTTGCGATGTCACAACCGGTCGCAGGTGAAGTTGATCGCTCGCACGTCCCACTGTTAATTTGTATTTGAAGTTTGCTGTAGTTTTTCTACCTTCAGACACCAAGGGAGTTTGCAAACGGAACAAGCAAGTACCTGGCGGTGTTTAGGATGTCAAATTTCGCTCGCTCGCAGGTTTTGCTGAAACTCTGTTGCTGATGAGAAGGTGTCAGAAGCTTGGAGTGAGTTCACGCACAAGTACATATTTCTTGAAGGTCTTCTCATGTATGTTCAAGGGAGAGTTGTTGTCATCGGAGCGGCTCTGGGGGGAGACGCTATCAAGGTAGCTCTCGCTTCTGCTGTAGGGAGTCGGCTCTGGAGTCGAAGCAGCCATTGAGTTCATCATGGTCTCGAAGTCAAGAGGCATAGAGTTTGGTGACGGATATGTCAGCGAGCTGTGAAGGAAATCAGTCGAAGTTTTGATCTCCGTTACCCCTGCATGTCCCAAAGTGAGAACTGTTGTAGGAGCCATGAGTTTGAGTTCGATACCTGTCTCTTCAGTCTCACTTTGGCTGCTCACTTCAGATATTTCTGAATCTTCACTGATACCATGAGTTGCCTTCTCCTTGACATAACTAGCGCTTGTCGATGCATGGACCTGGACGAAGTGATCGGGTGGAGATCGCTTCCCAACAATCTTCCATTTGTAATTGCGACTCGTGGATTCAGAGACAAGATCACTTGTGTTCAAGTAAACGTGTCCGAGGGATTTCTCTACTTCACTCTTGCCACGTCGATTGACTCGCACTTGTTTCGCCTGAACAACAGCAATCAGATAGGATCGATCACGACTGGTATTGAGCTCACCGACAACTTGAAGTCTTTCTTGCTATCCTGTTCCCCGTCAAGGTTGACCACAAATCGCATCCTTGCTCTCTTCTCCCCATAGCAGATCCCACCTGCTCCTGCCGTTACCGTGCATCGACTTCAGCGTTTGCAGTACCGATCGCCTTCATGGGCGTCGTGGAAGCAGCAATAGCTCCTGCCATAATCGCCATAAGTCGGAAGTGTCTCTTGCATCTGACTACCTCTCGAGACGGATAGCAGGATGTGGCTGCCGTCTGAAACGTGAGCTGCCTCCACCCGTTCTATCTGCAGAGGTTTCTCACGCAATGCAGTCTTGAGGAGAAGGAGGATGAAGGATATGACGATCATGTGCAGAAACATTCTCAGATCACCCGAGTTACGTTCACTCACCTCGATTTCACACAGCATTGTCACGCGGCGCTTTCCTTGGGCTGCCATAGCACCGGCCCTCCTAAGACCAAACTGCCTTCGCTCTTTCAGGTAAAGTGGGTTCAACTTCAACTTTTTCCTTTCAAATAGTATCTTTAAATTTTGAAATATAAATGAAAAATATCAAGCAATACTCCAACTTTGAAGAATACTTTGATTCACAACAATGAGCTCCCCTCAGGTATCTTTTAGTAAAAGTTGAAGGTCAGAGAATTTTTTTCTTTAAATATCGAGTAGATGAACATTTGCTGTCCTCGATAGGCCCGATACATCGCCTTGACCGTACCTCAGGCCGACTCCGAAGTTTGGCGGCATGGGGGTAGCTTTGTCGTGCATGCCGGGAGAGGACGGGAGGATGCCGACATGGCAGACGACAGAAATCTTTCACAAGTGTTGCCACATGGAGGAGAATGTCAGACGACCTGTGAGGGGAGCAAACACGACGACCGAGCAAGAGAGGCTGATCACAAAGAAGATGAAGCTTTGGTCCCATGTGATGTGCATTGTCTTTCACTTCTGAGTGTATGAATCAAGCTAATGCTGTTCTCATCCCACAGAAAGATGCTGTAAAGCTCAAAGTCTATGAGTACGCTGCTCAAGACTATGCCGAGGGGATAAATCATTTATGTGACATTTTACCGAAATGTTTCAACTTTCTTACATCGCGAGCAGGCGAGCATCTTGGAGGATTTGTCTATCTGAATTTCCTTGATGGCGATGGATATGCGGTAACTCAGTCCCTACATCCTGCTGTCAGTCATTCGAATCGCCAGCCCATTCACGTCGCAAGCTATCATGGCAGCGCAGAGGCTGTCGACGTCATGCTCCATCACGGTGCTGACGCTACCATGTGAGTCTGCCGCCTCCGCTTTCTGCTCTGTGACGGTCAATGAGCAGCAAGACCGCCGAAGGCTTCACAGCCGCGCAGCTAGCGGACATGCAAGGCCACAGCAACTTGGCCAACAAACTGGTAAGAGGTGGCTGACCAGGGAGAGCTCTGATGACGCGATCGGTAGCGAGCAGCCGTGAAAGGTCCTCCCTACCGCAGAATGTCCTCTAGATCCGACGGTCAGCCCTCCCCAGCTCTTACCCAGCACGTTGCTGACGCGTCCACAGCACTTCCCTCGTCCAAGCACAGATCACCTTCGGTAATCCCTCTCGCCCCTTTCCCCTCCGCTCGCTCCGCTCCGCTCCCAGCTGCTCCGCTCCACTCTCAGCTGCTCCGTCTGACGTTGGCCCCTCCAGGATACACCGACAAGCGGCAGCGCCAAGTCGTCTCCTTCGAGCCCTGCTATCCGACGAACTCTGCGCATCTGAGGGGGCAAGGAAGAGGGGCAGAAGGGCGGGAGTGGACATGTACATGTGGCGGAGGGATGGAAGAGGGGAGAGGAGGAGGGGGAGGAGCGAACGAAGACGGAGGATGGATGCATTCCGATTGTTATTCGCCGCTCATAGCCCGTTCAACTTTTCTATCGTAACCTGCGACAAGATGACTTGGAGCAGAGAGGAGCGCCGATGCCTCACTGGCACAAGACTGGAAGAACTCTTGTATGTCTTGAGGGACATCTATGAATCCTTGGTTGGCCTCTTCGTTCTGTTGGAACAGCCGGCAAGACAAGAGTCAGTAACTTCTAAGTGCGAGCATGGCGAACGCAGCATTCACATTCAATCGGATCGATGGGATCGGATGATGATATTCTTTAGTTTCAGGACCTGGAATGAAGTCAGTCCTACTGCTCATTCCAAGTAAATGGTTCTCACGACAGTCGCCCGATGCTTCCTCATAGTCACTGACTTGCTTGCTCACTACGACTGGCCTCCTGTCCCTCAACTTCTGCACTGCGGCCGTTGGAAGGCCGAGACCAGTCGTCTCCTGCCTTTCATGCTGTATCCACCGTCTTCGCATCCCTTCACTCATCACGTACGCGCTCCTCGGCCGCTGCAGAGTGACATCAGTGGAAGTTCGGCGATCAGTCTGCACATTACTTGTCGAGTTCCGTAGAGATCAGGAGGGACAGGGTAGAAGTGGGAGGATCTCACAACTTCAGGTGGCAAAGTGAGTGAGCGAATGATCGTCATTGAGGGATTTTCACCGGACACATTTTGTCCTGTTCCTCCTAGACTGTCCGCGTGTTGCAGCTGCATCGTCCATGGTATCGCTTGTTCGTCAGCGACTCCTTGGACCTCTTCTCTTCTCTTTGTCAGCAGGTAGTTGTACAGCCCACTTGTTGATATGTTCGGGAAGTTGAGAGGTCGGTCGTCACAAAGATCATCCCTCTCTCTTGCAGGCTGCATGTTCTGCTTCAAATTCTCTTTGTCTATCTTCACGCTCAGATTCACATGTTGGAACACTGCAAACATACCCAGCTGTCTTTGTCGGAACTTGAAGTTTGCCTTCGGCTGATCGTTGACATCCTTTGCAGTCTGTTGAGATGAGCCGTTAGAGGTCAGATGTCGCGACTGTCGAGACCTTGTGCTTGCGAGGTTGACCGACGGCTTCTTTGTTTCCTCTGCGGGATGAGATGAGAGGATGGGAGGGAAGAGAGGTCCGTGAAACAGCGATGGGCAAGGCTGGGAAGTAGGAAGAACACTGAGGATGATGGAATGTCGCTGTACCTGGGCGGTTTCTGGGCATTCGTGACATTCGTGCTTGCGTTTTCTTCTTTCGTTGCATCTTTCTGTGTCTGCTACCACAGTCAACATGTTTGTCGCAACACACTCAAACATGGTCTATCGTCCTAACCGCGAGTTTTGCTTTCAACTTGTCGATTTGAGTCTCATGGGCGAAGCAGACTCGAAGGTAGTGGATGAGCAACGAAGTCCTGGAGGGAGGGTGAGCAAATGTGATGAAGAGACGACGATGGTGATGAAGAAGTTCGGAGAGGACAGAGGAGAAGAGGAAGACGGGAAGAGGACAGACGGGAAGGAGAGGAGCATTACAAGGCAATGAGGATGAAAAAACGAGGAAACATGGCTGAGAGTAGGATGAAAACAAGGAGCAGGGATCGGGAGGAGGGGCAGAAAGAAAGATTCAGAGAGGATAGAGAAGTGGACAGCGAGAGGAGGACGCAAGAGGACGGAGAAAGAGACGAGGACGACTAGAAAAGGAGGAAGGAGGAAGGTGGAAGGTGGAAGGAGGAAGAGATGACGACTAGAGAGGAAGGAGGCAGGAAGGAGGCAGGAAGGAGGCAGGAAGAAGGAGGACGGGTGGAGGAAGGAGGAAGACCTCTCATCGTCACTTGCATTGATGATCTGCTCCATCTTACTGCGAAAGCTCTGTTTGACACAAGTCAGTCTGAGAGCAGGAGAGGTTTTCTTTGCAGACCTTCTTCTTCCTCGGACTCAGATTCTCTTGGATTGCTCGATGACCTGCATCATTTCCATCTTATTCTTTCTGATTTCCTCCTCCTCCTCCTCCTCATTTCAATCATCGTCATTGTCATCGTAAGCATCATGGTCATCGATGCCTCTACCAAATCATCATAGTTCCTATCATCGTCATCATGATCTTCCTCCTCTTCTTCCTCTTCCTCCTTTTCTGTCTCTATATCGCTCTCCCTCCATTTCTCACCTCTCTCCACCATCCTCCCCGTCCACTTCTGCAAATCCTCCAACAGGCTCTGATCCACAAGTCAGCGGCAACCATGCAGCAGCAGCTTGTCCTTCCTTGTTCTCCTCGAGCAGCTGCTGGTTCTCTTTCACACTGCAGTTGAGAGCATGTTCAAGGGTGCCGACCTGATCCACAAGTCAAGGGGCCGGGCAAGCAGGAGCCTCCAGTGTCCACCTGCTCCCGACAAGCGTCTTGCACCTCCGAGATGCTCTGGTCCCTCTCCGCAACAAGCTCGTCCCGCCTCGAGCTCACCGTTCGCAGCTCGCTGGTCAGCCTGGCCGGCAGCGTCAGGGCCGCGCGCGCCAGCCCCGAGGGCCGCAGGGCTCACTGATCAGAAGCCTTCTCGTGCCTGGACAGCGCTAGCGACACCTCCCACACCTGCAGCACCATCCGCATGCTCCTGCCCGGCTGTCATCCTGGGATCGCACGCACCTCCTCTGCATGTACGACCTGTCCCGTCGGCCAGCAGCGCAGGACTTGACGACCCTGGGGGATGATATGAGCGCGTGCGGGAGCATGTTGGCAGGAGCGTCACCTCTGAACTCTCTCCAGCCTCCTCATGGCCAAGAGACACTGAGACAGGATCCACCTTGAGAGTCCGACAAGCGTCAGTGGCGTCTGTGACCTCCTCCCACCCCCTTCACCTCCTCCTCGCTGCCTGCGTCCAGTACGATCTGACAAGAAGTCAGTCAAAGCCTCAGAATTCATCGCTGCTCTTGCCTGTACCATCGATGGGCGACAAGTTGAACAAGAGAGCACTTCTTCAACTTCTTGCAGTGTTTGACGTTCAAACTGAGAAGCCAATCAGAGCATTTCTTTCTCCCCCATCCTCCTTCTACTCCCCCCCCCTCCTCCGCAGCTCCTTCTTACTCCTCCCGGGCCTCTCCTCCCTCCTCCCTCCTCCCTCCTCTCTCCTCCCTCCTCCTCTTCTACTCGGATGCATAGCACGCTGCCGCAGCTCCTGGACGATGAAAAGCACGGAAATCAGTCGGTTCAACGCAAGGGATGTCAAGTACCTGTAATCTCTTGCTCGGCCCGAAGTTTGCTGCAGAGAATTTGAAAATTGCTTGCAGAGATTTCGAAACACTCACCTCTCCCGCACGCAGAAGCTCCACTTGCACACCTGTCAACCCCCAGCAGGTCACCAGCAGGTGCTCCTAGCCACACAGCTAACATCACCACTACCATCTTGACCAGCCTGATCTTCTCCTCCCACCTCCGCGACATGAGCGCCTGCAAGGCAGCAGCAACGCGTCACTGGCGCTTCCTTGCATGCCCTTGCTGTTACCCAACTCAGCCGGCATGCCCTCCATGACATCTCCAGCGGGCTTGTCTCTGCCTTGCCAGAGCGCTCGACTGGCACAGCTCGTCAGCCTCGTTGCAGCTGCAGCAGCATCTCTTCTCACCTCCTGCGCTTCGATCGTGTGCCTCCTCCACCGCCGCGTCAGAGAGATGAAGCCCGACTGCGAGGAGGCGTCAAGATCAGCGAGGAGAGTGAAGTTGTCCTACCAGGTCGACATCTCATCAGCTTCCCATCCCCATCGAAGAATCTCTTCACAGCAAAGAAGCCAACTGCGTCGTTGACATGGTCCAACCACTCCTCGAGCACAGCCCTCAACACATTCATCCTCCTCTTCCGCAGCACAGCAGACACAACCCTCCTGCTGTACTTGCACGACACCACCAGCTCCGTCCAGCCGTGAAAGAAGAGCCTTGAGATGTAGAAGCACTTGGTCTTTGACTCCCTCACTTTCAGGGAGAGAGTCTGTCGAAGAAGCTCCTCCCTCCTCTCCCGCTTTGTCCTCGCCACGTGAAGCCACCACAGCATCGTCCCTCTCTTCCTCTCCCTCATCACCCACCTTGTCTGGAGCTCCGACCTCCCCATCGCGATCTCTCTCCTCGAGAAGATCCTGACCTCCCTTGAGAGCGCAGCAGTCTCCATCCACCTGCTCCAAACTTTCCCAGCAAGGCTCATAGTCTTGAGCTGCTTGCTCCTCTTCTCCTCTAGCCACGACCGCCTGCCCTGCCGCTGATGCTCGGCGATGCTCATTCTATCTTGCATCCTCCTCGATTCATCCTGCACACTCCGGGCTATGTCCTGACATCGCCCGAGCCACCTGTCAAACTCGTCTCGCGCTCCCCTCCCCTCCCCCCGTCCTGCCGACACATGTCAGCGCCATCGCTCCATCTCCCATCTGCCGACCTTGTGGGTGACCCTCCTGCCTCCTCAGGGTCTCACAGAGCAGCTCACATTTCGAGATCAGCTGCGAAAGGTCCGACACACCAGCCTCCTGCAGGTCTTCACGTCACTTCCCCTCCTCCACCATGGGGGTGATGAGGGCACCTGAGAGAAGCTGTGCCCGCGCTCGAGCAGCACCTGAGCGAGCAGGTTGGAGCCTGAGCCTGTTATGCTCATGGGGCGTTTTCAGTTCATGCTGCTGCTCGTCCTGCGGCTAAAATCTGCTGCAACGTCAGGGAGATCATCGGCACTCGAATATGTTTCAATGGCATCTGCTTGATGTTTCGGGGCCATGCTCCCTCCTATTGTCCTTTTCCTTGTCCTCGTCCTTTTCCTTTTCCTTTTCCTTTTCCTTGTCCTCGTCCTTGTCCTTGTCCTTGCTTTCTGATACCCGTCTTTATTGCTTCGATTCCCCTCCCCCTCCCCTTCCCCCCCCGCGCGCTCTCCCTCTACTTGTCCCTGTCCCTCTCTCTTCCTTCCCCTTCTCTCGTCTCCTTTCTTTTCCTCTTCCTCTCCCTTGTTCTCTCCTCCTGCTCCTCCTCCCTCCTCTCTTCGCAGCCTTCCCCTCACGCTCTCCTTCTCCATCTTCATCCTTCACGACTCTCCTTCTGGTCAACGTCAACGGCCCAGCATTTCCTGGGTCCGCACAAGGGGTGGTCTATCTGGATAAGAGGACTCCTGTAATAGTAAGGGGTGGGGGTAGTAATAACTTCCTGCAAGCTTGTCAAAAATCGTTCATTTCATTAGTTTTATTCAATCAAATTCGACAAGTTGCCTCTTAATGAAACATCAACAACATTCACGGACATTCACAAAATCTCATCCTCCCTCCCTCCCTACATCCCTTTCTGCCCTCTTCTCACATCCGGAAAAACTCCTTTCTCCTCCAAAATGTTCAAAAACTTCTCTTCCTCC